TGTCACAAGATATTTCTGTGCCATGTCATTCAAGTGACCTGTGCAATAATCATCCCACAGGGCATCCAGTATCTCCAGTGAAGTACACAGTACTGTTAATATCAAACTTCCTGGCTGGGAATCAACAAGCAGCACTTTGCGCACATTTGTTAAAAATTCTATGTAGCCATTTCGTTCTTCTGGTTTAGTTGGGTCAATTGCCTTGAAGTACTTGAGTGCAATGAAATTCAAAACTTCTTGTCCATTGGGTATACCATGACTTTCAACACTTGCTCCCTCAAAGATCTCAGTCCCTCCTGCTTGAGATAGGCTGTTGGATGTAGACAGCTCCACTGCCTTACCCTTACCTGCTCTTACTACTGTCTCCAGGCTTTCTGGTTGGGCACCCTGTGAGCCCAGAACTGTTCTTCCTGAAGTTCCAGTTACTACAAGCTCCACAACACCTTCTTGGATACCTTGACTTGATATAGCCACAGTTCCTGAAGCTCCACTTTGTGGATTAGGGTCTGGAATGGTCTCACAATCAATCCGCACTCGAAGTTTAACTGTGAGAGGATTAAGTCTCATTTACTAGTCGGCAACTAAGCATTTACCGAAAAAAAAAGTCCCCTGCACATTGTTGTAAAGCACATTAGAGCATTCCATGAAAATGCACTATAGAAATAGATATATTATTAATAATTATTGTAATTATTATTATTAAAAAGGCCATTGATGAGTGGTACTGAGGCAGCTAGCCAACTAACCTACTAAGAAACTTAACTGATATTGATTTGGGCTTTAAAAATAATTATATGCTGCCATTCCTGTTAAATTAAATATAATTGTATGTATATGGTGCACTGTACAGGATATATATATATTTAGTATAATTACTCAGGTGATAATAGAAATTCTCGCACTCTTATTGGCCAAGAATGGCATCATATTACGCTATAATCATGGCTGCCTCGCGCTTTGTTGATGTGTCTGAAGAGGAAATTAATTTAATGAAAGGAAATACCATTCTGAGGAATACCAAACATGCCACAAAGTTTGGAATGACACGCACTCTTCAAAGGTAAGGTGTGAAAATTGTGCTAAATGTAACAAAGAAACCATTTAAATTCCCGAGAAAAGTTTGCTTATATCGACATGCATGAATAAATCAAGACAACTACATTAAATTTTTGCAATACTTTATTTACTTAACAGAATGGTTTCAACAACAAACCGAATTTACCACTGACTTTGAGGCAGTGGAGGTCAACAATATGAATAACTGTTTGTCAAAATTTTACGTCTCAGTCAGGAGGAAAGACAGGACTTTTTACAAGAGGAATAGTCAGTTGTCCGTGTGAGCGGCTCTCACTCAGTTGTTCACTGACATGTGACAATGACTAATAAAATTTAACATATTCCTTTGCTCATTTCTAGAATCACCTGAGTAATTAGACTAAAACAATTATTTGCCTCAGGCTCGTGAATATTCACTTTGCCTTCGGCGAATAATTGTTAAATATAAATTTATATAGATATATAATATAATGAATCAGTGTTTATGATAGAGAGAAAAAAAATAAATTCAAAAGAAAAAGATAGGCAGGAAAAAAAGCAACAAGCTGACCTCCAGCTGAGGAATTGGGTTCCCTTCCCACTTTCAAATGATCTTTGATGCCTTGGGCTGCATCTTGAAATTGTTGCGTTAAGCACTGCACCTTTTGGGCTGCAGTTTTTACTTCCTCTCCAAGCTGATCTTTGATGCCTTGGGCTTCATATTGAAGCACTCGTCTTAAGCACTGCACTTCTTGGGTTGCAGTTTTCAGTTCCCCTCCAAGCTGATCTCCGAGTTCTTGTCTGAAGCACTTCAGTTGATCATTAGTGCCTTTGGCCTCCTCACAAACTGTTTCTGTCAAGCCCTTTATTGAGGAGTTTACCTTGTTCATATATTCCTTTACTTCTGTATCATTCTGGTACCAACTGAGCAATTCCTGCTCATGTCTCTTGTCTTTCTCAGTGAGGGGATCTTTCAAAAATGTACCAAT